CTTTCTGTAGCATTGCTTCCTAAAATTCGGCTTATTCGCTATTTCGAATTGCTGAGGATAAAATTGCACCGCCATTTTTGAGAAACAATTCGGCATTTTCTACTTCCTGTTGTGCTTCTGCGCTTAAATCTTTATTTCTGCCCCTCTAGGTTTCATAGTCCAACGCGAGTTTTAGAATATAACTCTCATGGTTCCCTAAGGTCGGGAGTAAACTTTCCACTATGTGTAACTGCTATTTGGGTTTGCGGCAAATTATGTCCACAGCTTTGAATTAAATCCTTACCAAATTTTATCTGGTGGAATATGCATCACCAATCTTGTGGTGTAAACGGGAAATGCAGAAAAAATTTCGACAAAGTTCGTCCCCAGAAGTTTGGGTGAATATTGCCAAAACTATGGACAAATAATGCACACAACAAAATAAAATAAGAAATTATGTGAATTAACCTATCAATAAATATTTACCTATGGGAGAAATCACTACCTCAAATGCTACTGCCCTGATTTGTCTCGAATGGTAACAGTCCTGTCAGGTACGGCGACAAAGGAATTCTTCGTGTGTCTCTTTTTCTTTCCTTCGCGCAAATCTATTATATTAATGGTACATATTCGCTCGTTGTATATTACAGATATTTTGAATACTTCTAATTTGTGCGTACTCCGTCCCCCTGCCACAAACGCTTATATACTATAACCGCGGTTCTTCAGAAACTCGTATTAGGATTTCAAATTAAAATAAATCATTCCTACAGGATTAGTCACAAATATATTCTTCTCTATTTGTTCATGATGCATCCGCACCATCGCAACCTACATCCACCTTTCTTGTGGAAACAAAAAAAAACTACTTAAAAAAAAAATCCTCTTAAAAAAAAAATTTCCTCTCAAAATAAAAATTACTTTTCGAAAAATAAAAAAAAAGAATACGATTCCCACGTTAAAAGAATAATTCAATAAGACTCACAAAAGGGAGTAATAAATCATTGTGGTGTGACATGTTCCAAAATTTTCCTTATTTACTTTTTTTTCCTCATCGCACTCATCTACCAAGGAATATATATCATGGAGTCCCTGTAAAAACTATTTTTTCCATTTTTCCAGCCTCTTTAGACTGCGCGCATGTAATATCGTTATTTTCCCATCGGATCCATCTGCAAAATACAGTGGATAAAATTGTGAAGCTGAAATTTTTCTAGTGCCAAGTGGTGGATTATTTTTGAAAGCTCTACCTCCCATAAGATTCATTTGTAGGAAAAATAAAAAAAAAAAAATTAAAATGGAAACAGAAAAAAAAACACAAACATCCTATATTTCTCCTTCCCTTGTTGCCCTTTTACGACACATTTTTCCTGACTCTTACTAATGACCAAGATGAAACCGCGTAAAGAAGCAACGGACTAATACATTTATAATCTTTTTCAATTCCTCCAGATTATGAAGAAGCGTAAAGGCAATTACTCCTTCTGTGTAAGAGGTTAATTCATGGGGAAAAAGTCTCAGCGTAATTTATACGGCAAAATAAACGATCCCCTTATCATTCCGCCACGGCACACGCCTTCCTCTCGGGACCTAATGAAACATTTATTCATTAATTTAGGCATTATTTTATTCATTAGTTTATTGATCAATTCAATCATTATTTTATTTATCTGCCGTCGAACCAGCATCGCATTGCGAACGGCTCATTAAAGAAGAAATATTAACGCAAAAAAAAACAAGAGCAGTAGCTGCGCCAATAAATGAAGCGAATTCTGTCACAAAAGCGGAAGTGCGCAATCTTATTCTCGAAACGATCACTCGCATTAGACTTCATATAAACCCTCCATTTCCAATTCCTCATTTTGGATGGTCTCCCAATTGGGAGTGAACATTCTTTTAGCCTTCACTTGGCATTTAGGTTGCTCAGCCCTGAGAATCATAGCCTTGGTGCAGGACTTATCAAATGTAGCTGTCCTGATTTCACATTTGTTCTCCCTCATCCTTGCATCATTCTACTGTCTCATCACTCTATCCTTTTATTATTTTATCGTTCTATCAATTTGCTACTCTGCTATTCTACTAGTTTACTTGTCCTTCTTGTAAATGTTCTCATGCCTTAAGGGTGCACAAAATGAAGAAATTTTCTCCGAAGAGTACATATCACCCTCCTACATTATGCAAAGGCCCCTGAGCACGTCAATCGTTTCGTTCTTCAAATTGTTCCCCCCAGTGAATAGGCAGCACAGACACATTTGCTCCCTCTTTGTTTTCTTCCAAGAAGGCGATAAAATAAATTAACGTACTATAGAAGGAGCCGCATTCATCCTCTTGGGTTCCTACGTCTGCAGGGGCCATCCTTTCCCACATTCTCCATCTCCTAAGTTGGGAGTAGCCGTAAGGCCACCGACTCAGTAATATTTTCTCAAAGAGCCTTTCCCTCCATTCCAGTAACCCTTTCTTTTTTTTTACATTTAATAAGGATAATTACAAAGCGAAGTTATCTTCACCGGCCGTGTGCACTGTAAGAAGGCGTAAATGGTTGGAAGTAGTTACTTGTCTAGGTTGTTTTTCTCCACTGTGTTCGTTTCCCCTGGTTGACTATTAAAGGGTTAGCAACCTGTTCGCCTCAACGTGCAGTTACTCATATGCGCTACCTGCGAAGGTCTTACCAGTTTAGCGGAAGCCATAAATGATCTACAGAAATTGGCCACCAGATGCACGTGTTCACAATTTTGAGTAAAACCAAAACAAATTCCGTTCCTTACCAAAAATTAGTAAAATAGAAAACCGAATACAATGATTCTATCTTCTCCTTTCTTTCATTGCAGACTGTTTTTGAAGGTTAGTGGTTCCTCCTCCTCTACGGGGAGATGTTCGTTTCCGTGCGCATTTATCGGCATATGAATTAACACTCAAAAGGAAAAATCAAGGAATAGAGGTCCATGTTACGAAACCCATAAGTGGGACACACCCTTCAAAAGATGCACTCCTAAATATGCTGCCCTTAAGGAACAATACAAGTTATGTGCACTTTTATCACTTCTTCTGTCAATATTGATAGATAACTGACGAAACTGCTTTTGCTGCACCGTCATACAAGCACCTTCTATCTACGACAAAAAGAGCGCTGTGGGGGGGGGGGCATCCAATTCGCTAGTGCAATTTTTAGATAGCGATTTCTTTTTTTTTTTTTTTTTTTTTTTTCTTTTTTTTTTTTTTTTTTTTTTTTTTTTTTTTTTTTTTTTTTTTTTTTTTTTTTCCTTCTCTTTTTATTTTATTTTACTTTTTTTACTATTATTTTATTCCTTCTTATTATTCTATTTTTTGTTCCTCGAATTGAATAAAAATGCAATGGAGAGGATTATCTAATGAGGAGTAGCTAAATTCTGAATCGGCCTAAATTAAAAAACGTTGTGATAAGGAGATACATACGCCTAACTGTATATATACACATACGTACATTCTTACGCACATTCCTTTTGGCATCCACATGACTGCCCCTAAAAGGATTTGTATAAATGGAGCAATTCTGCCGAGAGTTTTGAAATGCGCATGGTAAAAATTTACGAGAACTAATTATAACGTTCCTGTTCATACTCTGAAAAACACACAACTGTTACCCTTGCGTGAATGAATGAGGATTGAGCGTCAAATATCTTTCTCCCTTCCTTTGTGATCAATCGTGCTTTTGCATATTTCTCCCTTGTGTTGTTTCAGCCGACCCGTGTTCCCAGGTGGGGAGTAGTACTCTGTTTTTTCATTCTATTCCTTCCATTTCTTTATTTTTCCCATAATTTATTATCGTTCTTCCTTTTTTCTTTTCTCGATTCTGTTCCTTTCACCCGTTTCTCAGCATTTAAATCACCCGGGGTACATACATAATTCTGACAAAGGGAACCAGGTAAGCAGTAGAATTATACACATTTGCAGATACTTTCACCGAACTGCTCGATGCACTCAGGAAAACCCTCGACCATCACGCTCCGCACAGTACCGGACAGTTTGCACTTTTCCATTCGATTCGGTAAACGTGCGTCACAACACGAAAAGGATGAATAGGGTGAGAAAAAAATAAAAAAAATTGCAGTACAATGCAATAATATGACAATAAAAGGGCAATGCAGTGATATCAGGTCAGCACAGCGATGATGATGTGTGGCGCGTGCTGGCTGGATGTCCGTACCTAAAGGTGTTTTTAGGGGAAAAATTATCGCTCCGACAGAAAACACACTTACAATTGAGCCAATTTTTTTGGCTGAGCCTCCAATACGAGGAGGACATCAACCCACCGATTTCCCTTCCCGGGTAGCGCATCGAGCCATGCATTCGAAGAAACACACACACGCGCATGCATGCAGGGGTGTATGCACTGATGTATTCACTTCTCGATCCATTAATGTGTCGCTTTCTGCCCTTCGGGTGCGAATTTTATTTTTCTAAAAAAAAAAAATTTGCAACAAAATGTACGTTTATTAAGTTAAAAAAAAAAAGAAAAGGAATCCCAAAAATACATGGAAAAGGCTAATATGGCAAGGACGATTTTCAAACCACAAGATGATATTCACAGTTTTACTCCTTCTCAGGCAACTGTACATGTTCACCGTTAAGGAAAAGTTCCATTTGCTAAATTTTCTAGAGTAATAAGTTCCTCTTCGCGGCCCAGTACACACACACACAATTGTACACTTCTCACGAGGACAAACCTCCTAACGTAACCAGGTACCTAAATCGATGCACATCGACTCGCTCGGAAGTGAACAAATGGGAGAAAATGCGAAAAAATTCGAAAAATTGAGAAAAAATGAGAGACAGCTTCGATGTATGCACACATCTGTGTGACGTGATCGGAATACTCTCCATCTTTATTACTATTAGAAGGGTGACGAAGTGGGACGGATTCTCTTTTCCTTCCTTGTAGGTCACCGTGTTACACATATTCATACTTTCCCTTCTCGAACCCCCTTTTCAGACCTCCTAGTGGAAACCCTTTGCATTTTTTCTTTCTTTTTATGCTAGCCAAAATGAAGATTACAAAATTGCTGGTAACACTGGCTGTTTTAGTGGCCCTGAATTCATTCACACCATGCACATGTAAGAACTTATTCCTGAAAAATTTGAAAGCAAAACTAGACGAATTCGATAAAAACATGCAGAAAAAAGATTTTAAAAAGAAGGTGATCATCTCGTCAGCAGTCTTAGGGGCAGCAATCTTGGCAAATGCACTAGCTGGAATAGGATACTATAATTATATGAAAAAGGAGCAGCGTGATCATGGACAGAAGGATAATTGCGTGGAATCTAAAAAGAATGTAGATGCAAATAAGCTTGCCAAGCTGACTGAAGAAATTAAGGACAAAGTAAATCAAATGTCGAAAAAAACTATGGCCGAAAATTTCAAGTCGGGTAGACCAGATTATCCAAGACTGAAAGACGTTCTCCTCAGCATGGAAAATGAAGTCAAAAGGAGAAATGCAAACATCGATAAGTATCACACTTTAGACATGTCTTACGATGTTTTCAGAAATCTTTATCATATATCTGAACTGTGGAGAAAGAACCCACACTTAATTCCAAACAATAACTAAACCAATGGATGTCTGCCCAGTGCTTAGCCAACTTGAGTGCAATCTGTGCACAGGGCCCTGCGTCATAGCTGGTCATACGTTTTTTTAGCTTTCTTTTTTCTTCGATGTTTTATTTTGCTTCCATTTTTCTGCCATCCTTGTGTTACTCACCTTTTCCGGCTATCCTATTTCACTCCTTTTCTTTGTCTCTCGTTTCTTGTGTTTCCTCTTTTTGCTCTTCTATTTTCTCCTCATTTTTAAAATTCCATTGATGACCACATGAATTTACACGTACGCACCTGTGGTTCCATTTTACCCACTCAAACTTGTTAAGAAGTGAATTGATCCGTTTCCGCCCCCCGCAGTGACTTGGCTAACTCTCCGCATGAAAAAGGGGGCAAATAAGCAATCCGTCGAGGAAGGCTGTGAAGGATGTAACCCTATGGACCTGTTTGGAACCCACACTTCTTCGCTCTACTGAAATTGCCAGCAGAAAGGGAACAACATCATCGAACAGGGAATAACTTCAACGCCGAAGTGCGCTTCTGCAATGTTCCCTTTTCGCATTGCGCAAATTGCAAAGCATTTCTCCAAATGTTCGGGAAAAGGAGCCTTCTCGTTCTGCCTTCCAAAACACGAACACCATACGGTAGTGGAGCACTTTCCAGGGGAACGTTAAGAAAAAAGAAAGTGGTGAAGCGCCCTTACAGTAGGCAACTTCAAAGAATTAACCTGTGGTCCTGTTCTCTACACTTAGAGGTTGATTCGGTGGAGCCTAATGATGTGCTTCAACAGGGTGAATTCTTGCTATGTTCCACGTTGGGAAAAGTCACTCTTCTTGTTCCGTTCCTTTTTCTTTCTTTATTTTGCGTCTTTTTCTTATTTATATTTTTTCCTTTTTTTTTCATTATGCTGTTTTCCCCACTCTGGGGGAATGGCGCGTATGCCTCTTGCTACTTCGTCCGCATCAACGTTCATATCTTTTCGCATTTTTCTCCAGGAAATTCATTTCCTATGCGTGTGTAATCCCTCGTTTGGCATAATAATTCACCAGGGTATAACCCCCTCCAAGAGGGAAAAAAAGGCGCTTCAAATGTTTCCCACCAATTGGGCGCATTATACTTACTCTCTTTAATTCATTTTTCCATTTATCCCTCATGGTGAGGCGCTTCGCAAAAACGCCATCTTGCCCTCTTAACCTGTTGCAATAATCTGTATAAAAGAATACTCACGGAGAGGGGATGCGGGATAAAAAAAAAAAATTACGCGACCTTCCGGGACGCCTTTTTTCCTAGTGGCTTCTCAGAGAAGGGGCAACCTGTTCCATGTGGATTTTACCTTTACAAATGCGTGGTTCACGTTGAACCGCCATTCGAAGAATAATTCCGCTCCCTTTCCTGGTTCCGCCGAATGAGGAGTATCAGTCTCGTGGCATGGCCTAACTTCCGTACGTATACACCCTAAGCGCTATGCTTGTTTCGACTATTTGTTGGCTGCCCCAGTTGGTGATAAAAGATACCCACTCGGGGGATACTGCCATGATGCCTTCCCAAAACATTTTCACCCCCACGCACAAGAGTAAACATGCACACACATACGTAACGAATATATTCATTGTGTACACATACGTAACGAATATATTCATTGTGTACACATACGCTACTTCCCATGTGCAACACTGTTGACTCAATTCATTAAACAATTGTTGTTTTATTTTTCCCCAAACCGCCCTGCAAACTTTCGCTAAGTTATCCACATCATAAATATAAATTTTTCTCCCCCGTCCCTTTTCTCCTGTTTCACCAGATTGTCAACTTCCATTTGCACATCCTAGTGAGGGTACTGCACAACCGAGTTCATATTCTTCTTTTTAGAAAAAAAAAAAAAATAGCTAGCTAATCAGCCATGAGTTTCAATCAGCTGATATCCTTAGGCAAGAACTCCGCAACGCTACTAAACAACATATTAGGGTCACTATTTAAGCCTAACCCTAACCTGGAGTACCTACTACCCAGTATTTTGTCCTATTCTGCCTTTCTCATCCTAGTTTGCACGGCGTATAAGCTATACGAAAAGGTAGGCCAATTGGTCCAAATCAAATGAGGTCGTGTGGACATGGGGAGTCATCCTCATCTTTTCTTTTTCTTTTTATATTTCATGTTCGCTCGTTGTGCCAAGTTGCCGTGGTGGCTTTCCACTAGCACATATATACATATATATTTGTATATATACATAATCGTGTGTCCACAGAAACGCTTTCGTAACTACATGTCCATATATCCATCTGAGCACATCGATGTCCCACCCCCCTCCTGTTTCCATGCCCGCAAGTATTACGAAAGAAGCGAAGACAAGGTCCAATTCGCCGGCATCGCGGTGTTTGACGCAGACACAGCTGATTTGGCAAAGGGAGGGAAGGTTTTGTCTGGCCAAGATGATTTGACCAGTGAGAAAAGTGCAGGAGGGAGCGAGGAATATGCCGGAGGTGAAGCCGATGAAGAGGAGAAGGAGGAAAAGCTCGATGAAGAATTACGAGAGGAATTAGGGGAAGATTATGAGGAACAGTATGAACAACCGTATGAGGGAGAATATGGAGAAATGATTGATCAGCCTTATGAGGAGGACTATGGCGGAGACTATGGCGAGGAGTACGAAGAAGAAGACGGTGAGGAGTACGAAGGAGAAGACGAAGAGGAGTACAACGATGAAAAGGTGTCTGAGCTAGAGGACGAAGGGGTCCCTGAACATGATTATGTATGGGCACAACCACAGCAGCAACACGCAGCAGTGCACTACCAACTAAAAGACGAAAAAGTGCCCTTCAAAGAGTCAGTGGAGATATAAGGAAAGAAGTCACCCTTCCTTTCCCCATCTCTCTATGCATTTAGGACTGCTCAAAAATGCAAGAGCATGTTTTTTTTCTAAGTGCCTTTTGCGTAACCGTAACCTGTTGGCCACCTCTTTTCTAGCACCACTTTTTAGCACCATTTTTGTGCACCCCTTTTTTCAATTTCTCCGCATGCATACGAGGGGGGGCTTATATAACCTTGAACAACAGCTGGATGAATGCTTCACCCCTTCTGAATTTTGAATCTTTCTTTTTCCTTTCCTTCTCCCATAAGTATGTGCTTGCTCAATTTACACCTTAAACGAAATGGTAGACATAGACTGTCTGATTCGTCCGCTCCTAGCGTAGTCGGGATGCTTCTGGTGAGAGCAGGCTTTTCGGTTTATTTCCCCTTTCTCGCCCCGTCCCAGGGCTTACGCTTGCCATGCACAGGTGAGTTCGTGCGTGGGGTGGTGGAAGCATGATGGTGGACTCCCCATAAGGAAAACACTTCATTCAACTCATAATAAGCAGACATGGGTTGGGAAAAATAAAATTAATGGAGAAGAAGAACCTCTAACAACAGGAACAAGGACAGGAGTGAAACAAACGAAGGGAATGAAGACCATGTAGTTGCTGAAACTTGTGGATATGGACTCTTTGGCGGGATCTACAGATGAATGTGCTTAAATTGGGAGAGGGGGAAGGGGGATTACACATGCAGTGGCACATGCGTATGGGAGTAGATCATCTGATGGTCATCATCAAATGTTTAGTCGTGGCTAAGCACCCACTGGAAGGGGGGCCCCTTCCCTTGTCTGTTGTCTGTCCCACTCCAGGAGCTACGCTATTTTTATCTTTTTTCGCAAAGGAGAAAGCGCCTTGTGGTTGAAGACGCAAAGTAATGGCAAGTGCTCCTTTCCTTCCTTAAGCAATTCTTCGGTGAGTATTCGCCGCGCGCAAGGTATTCCCATGCCGTTTCTTACATTTCTTCGACCTCCTGGTCATGTTATTCCCCTCTGGAGCAATCTTATACTCTCGGCCCAGTGTGCCAATGCGCGCACAGGGGGTCTTACACACATGAGGATACACTTTATTCTACTCTATGGGGAGTTAACAGTTCATGCTTCGTAGTACAAGATTCCTAAGGCGCATGTGATTACGACAAAGGAGAACCATTTGTCGCACTCTTCCCCAACACATCCCTTTATCAACACAGCTTCTTTTTTGCCCTCTCTTACGAACATAAAAATAATCCTTGAATCTGTGCCTTATGCATTTTGAGGTTATGGGAGATGGAATAAACATGCACAGGTCATCACAAAGGGGGCATATTAACGAATCAGGCTTCTCCATAAAAACAAATTCAAAAAACTGAGCACTCTTGTCATGGTGAAACGCGTTTGGGAAAACTCTGCAATTGTTGGAAGATGTATAAGGTGAACGGCCTAGCGTGGCTTCATTTTTCTTGCTACTTTTTCTAATTTACTGCTGTATGCATTTGCTGCGACGGTCATTGGATTAACGCGTGCGATGCCGACCCGATAGGCCGCGGCGGCAATGGGGTAGACCAGTAAAGCACTTTAAGGGCCGTAGCGTAGAGACTAAATATTTCCCCAGCTCGACATGCGCTTCTAACCCTGGAGAGAAACAGAGGGACCAATGTCTTCTCTTTTGTTTGGGATATATATGCTTCACGAGGGCACAATTTAACTTTGCCATTACGATCTATGCACAATCAATTATTCTTTTAAGGATCAGCGCCTCCCAAGTGTGTTCAGGTAGGTGTGCGATAGGAGCCCTCTTAGTTCAACTGACCAAAGTCGCCTAAACTAGACTCTTAGTATATCCTAGCGCGAGGAGATGGAGTATTTCACAGTTTGTTCAGAAAAAAATAATAAAATAAGGAAATAAAATAGAAAAATAAAAAAAAAATAAAATAAAATGAGTTACATAAAATTGTGAAAATACACATTTCTATTTCAGAACAGTTCTACTATTCTAAGTGAAAAATGGAATAAAACAAATTAGATGTATTTCCCAAAATATATTTTTTGGTATTTTATCTTTTGCCGTTTATCATTTTTGTCGGAATCTTTTCTAATTCTTAGAAGTTGACAATATTTTTTCGTATTTATTTTTTCGTTACCTTCTTGCCCACTATTGCGTTATGTCTTCGCCCATTTTTGCGTTAGGTCTTGGCCCTTTTCTGCGTTAGGTCTTGGCCCTTTTCTGCGTTACTTTTTCGCCCATTTCTGCTTTACGTGTTCGTCCATTTCTTCGTTACGCTTCTGCCCATTTCTCCGTTACGCTTCTGCCCATTTCTCCGTTATGTTTTTCACCATTTCTCCGTTACGTCTTCGCCCATTTCCTGACACCCTGTTTGCATCCCACCTAACATTCTACTTTGTCAATCTTTCGCTTTCAAATGTTGGAACACTTCATCACAGCATGGTTTATACACCCGCAGGCCGCTATACCACTCATACACTACTGACATACGACCGCTACACCATTGATATCCCACCGGTGATTCGCCAAAGGGGATTATGTAAACAGGGGTACTTCCACGCCGAACCGCCACTTACTTAACATGTTTAGGGTTAACAATTGAGGAGGAGGAAACACCAATTTCCCTCTACCCCCGCTAACGGGGGTTGATTCCCTCGCCCCATCACCCCTGAACACGTTTGATCTATTTACGAAATATAAAATATTCGCCCCCTTTATTATTTTCTACTTTACCATCATCTATCTCTTCAGTGTGGTCCGCAATACGTACACTAAGGTCAGAAACAGGAGTCTTCCTCTGGCCTGTTCCAAATCGGAACACGCAGGTGTGTTTGTATATATATTTTCCCATACAATTATGTAATTTTAATTTTTTTTTTTTTTTCCATGTAATCCCCTTGAAACCTCTTCTGCAAAGAGAACAACCAGTCAAACAAACTCTGTATTGCACCAATGACAAATGGCGAAAAGATGATCACCAACGGATGGTACTCCCATGGACAACACGCATACCGAAGCCAGTATTTTAATAGCGGCAAAGTGATGAATATAAACCAATTTGAAGGGAAAGAAATGCGAACGTTACAACATGTGAATAAAGACAACGAAAAAAAAGGATTCGTTCTGTGTGGTCTACCGGGCGACCAGTGGAAAACAAATCTGCACCTAAAATATGGCCAACTGCACAAAGGAACAAACCAATTTAGCAATCAGAACAATAATCAGCAGGGCGAAGAGGACGATGAGGAAGAAGACTCAGATATTGATATTGATTCAGAATTCGATTTAGAAGATGACTACTACGAGGACGACTATGACGACGAGGAGGACAATGACCCGGAGGCCTACAGGGAACGAAACAGAATGATGCGAAAGCGAGTAAAAAAATAGGTAAAAACAGAGCTACAGAATGAACTAAAGGAATTTTTCAAAAACGAAATAAAAAAAAAATTACTCGACGAATTGATTGAAGAATTTAAGTCGAAACAAATGGACACAACGAAGGAGGGTAGCGAAAATGCAGAACTGAAGCTCAAGCAACAGATACTGCAAGCAATTCTACAGCATGAAGTCGCCAATCCGGTGGAAGCAAATACGCATCTAACAAATCCCCACTCTACGAAAGATCTAGGTCAATTGAATCTCGAACTGATTAACGCGGAAAATAAACATAGGGAAAAAAAAACGAAGAACAGTAAAAACTTACTGAACTGAGACAAGCACAAGAAAAAATTAATGAAATCCAAAAACAAATTGAAAATGTGCAACATAACAGGAGCATCTATGTGCACCCGAATGAAGAGTACAGGCAGCTATTGTTTCTGTACCCACATAATAAAATGTCCCAGGAGGAGGTAAAAAGAGGACTCCTTAGGGACCTGCAAGAGAAATACCAAATCAAAGTGGAACAGATGAAGAATCTGCATGAACACATACAAAAGGTACAAAAGGAGCTGCAGCGCGCGGGCAACGAGGTCGAGGCCCTGCGCGCAAGTGTTAAAGCAAACGAGGAGGAAGACAAATTTAAGGGGAAAGTGAACCAGCCGTCTGGTCACTACCCGTGGATGGAAGGAAAAGCGGAAGAGAAAGCGGAAGCGCACCTACCAAATATATCGCACCTGTGAGGCTTGCCGCAACTGTCGCCAGAACCATCGCTAACATCGCTACCGGCCCAGTGGCAAGGAATAACCGTCGCGGCGTGGGAAGAGAAATCGCCACTGCCAATCAAAGTCAGAATTCTATCGGATGTGGAACAGAAACTTGAAGTGATGGAATCCAAACTACACACAGAATGAGTAAACATAGAACAAAAGATGAACTACGCCTAGTGATGGAGAGTTTTTCCAAATGGCGTCTATGCGCTGCGTCACGCTTAAGGGGCAACCTAATTCGATTCTGTTATTTGTGCACCTCGAGCCTTTGTTTTTATGAAACAAATAAAAAAAATTAAAAAGAATAAAAAAATTAAAAAAAATAAAAAAAATAAAAAAAATAAAGAAAATTATAAAATGGGACAATATCGAATTTGTACTTTTTTGTTTATTTTTACTTTTACTTTCATTTTTTTTTTTGTTTTATGCCCCCTGTTCGCATGACGACGCATAACAACATACATCTCAATTACTCATTCCGTGGAATTCCAGGAAAAGAGAAAAACATTTTCCACTAAGCTATTACATCCCTGGGCGTTCAAGACACTTCGCTCCTCCCTCTCATTCTTTACCAATGGCTGTTAAGTACGTGCATTCGTTCTTTATTCTTCTCTTTCTCCGAGCCTCTCTTCGGCCTTATCCCTTTTTAACCACTTCTCTCATAAAAATAGTCCGCAGAAGTGTATCTTCATGTTTTCGTATGGAACAAATGTCAGGATGGCGAATGGGTTGAAAGGGTGTCAAAAGTGAAGCTTTGCGCCGATACACACGCGCCTTGTAACTCACGCCAAATATGGCGCATAAAGGCGTGCGTGCAAAAAATATTCTGAAAGAAGGAAGTTGCACAAGGCGGAGAAGCCGATGAATACGGATATGCACCCCTCGCGCCGATGTACTTTGCGCAGGGGAATTCCAGGCAGCCTCATTCAGTTGTGTGTTAATGGGGCGCGTGGGCGGGGAAGGGAACAGGAGTTGCAACTATTGTTTCGCGCTACTCTTTTTTGTTTCTTTTTTTTTTTTTCCTAATCTTCTTTTTTTTTCTGCTCCTCCCCCCGATAACTGCTTTATTATGTATCGCCCCTGTTGGTGGAACTTTGCGCACAAGGGGGAAAGGGAACGCTGCCACTACCACTCGCCCCCGAGGTGGCGAGTGTCATTTTGGGAAAAAATGCAGACACACCCTGCTTATGCACTACCAATATTCATTTTATTTCGGGAAAAACACATATTTATGACAAGTGCTCTGTCATTTTTTTTTTATGGATCTGTGTCCATGGTGCCACTCTCGAACTGTGCGCCCTGTCCAATTTTTCCCGCGCACGAGTTGTATCCACACGCATGTGCATACGGAAGTAATATAACGTAAACGTACAAGTGCATATTTTTCTTTTTCTTTTTTGAGTTAAATAAAAATTGCAAAAGTGTAAAATTCGCAGCTTCACAATGCAAATAACAACTTCAGCATAAGGCGAAAAAGATTACGTGAATATTTTTTTTTTTTTTTTTCTTTCCTTTTTTGGATAAAAACGTTAAGCTAAAGTTGTATTCCCCCTTCCTTACCTCTCTTTTTTTTGTTCTCTGGTTCATATTCTTTTTTTTTTTGGGGCCTCTTTACGTATTTTCGCGAACTGTCCTATTGCACCAAGGGAGATTTTTTTTTTGGGGAAAAGTTGTACACAATTTTTCGAAAGGAAGAGGCAGAACAGTTGTGACTGACTGGCATATTTGAGTATTAGAAAGTGTGCACATTTGTCGAGTAAAAGAAAGCGGAAAGAAAATGAACAGCTGAAAAAATTGCACACACTGTGCTGAAAGTTATCCGGAAAAAAAAGAAGAAAAAGGAGAAAAAAAAGAGCTAAATAACAAAAGAGCGAAATACCAAAGTAACCAAATAACAAAGTAACGAATAATAAAACAAAAACGAACGAACGGACAAGGGAACCAGCAGCCCTGGCCAGAAAAGGCAAACACAAATAGACAACTCAAACCACGGAATAACCGAGGATCCAGCCCCTCGTTCTCTCTCCAGAGGAACACTCCGTGACGTTCCATTGACAGGAAACCTACATGCGCGCTTTAAAAAGATCTGAGAAATGTGAGTGAGACCGACTACGCCATCTCGATCCTTTTATGCACACGCGTCAAATCATGTGAGTGTCCCCCGCGTTCCTTCGCCTTCTCCATCCTCCAATTCGCTCTGTTTGTTTATCACGCCTAGGCTAATCGCCGTAGCGTTGAAACCGCTTCTCAACCGCTTCTCAACTGTTTCACAACCGCTTGCACACCCCCGCAGCGTCGAGTGAATGCATATCCCAAAAAAAGCAAAAAACCAAAAAAGGGAGAAACTAATCTTGTAGTAAAATGAAAATTTGGTTTATCCAACAAACCATATTCTATATTGCCATCACCCTCGTGAGAAAGATAGTTTGCTCCTACAAAAATGAAAACATAGAAGAGTTGAAAAAAATCATAAACAATGAGGAGCTGTATTCTAACCTGGAGAAGCTAGAGAATATCATTCTGCAGACCCTGGAACAGGATAACTTGAAGTTACCCATCGTAAGACATGATGTTCGGAGATATTTTGATTTATCGAAATTTAAAATTATCCCATTTAAGGCACTAAATCGCCATGATCGTGAATACGTTGTCCCGACTGTCAACTCGGAAGCGGAAGACATCATAAGATATGAACATGCGTTAAAGACACAAGTCGCCATTAACTACAAACACGAACTCTCAGATTTGATTAAGAAGAAAATACTAATCGTACGGACGCTAAAAATTATTAAAATTATGCAAATTCCTATGAAGGAATATAAAAACAGCTCAAAATTGAACGAGGCTTTGCTCAAGTTGAATAATATATTCACCAACGAAAATGACCCAAAGAATGATGAAGAGGCTGGCATTCGTATGATGAAGAAACGTATCTTTGGAAAAGCAGGCTTCTCAGGAAAGAGCGTCCGAAAGAAAATAGCTCTCTACATGCCGATAGAATTCCAGACAGACATTATCGACTACAACCATTTGCTCTTCACTTACCATCCCAATATTGAACTGATGAGGAAGCTGGACCGCAGGGCCAACTACTTCGACATGGGAATATTCAATTACGTAGGCACGCACTTCATAGGTACGTATCCCAGCGGTCTCTGTAACGACAGCTCCGGAGCGAACCGGATTTTTACTGCGTACCGCTACCCTTACAATATTAATGCCTCTCTAGACACTCCTAATGTCTTCCCCTACACTCTTAATACCTTTGCTTACACTTCTAATCTTTTTGCCTAAGCTTCTAATCCCTTTGCCTACACTTTCATTCCCTTTGCCTACACTTTCAATCCCTTTGCCTACACTTTCAATCCCTTTGCTTACACTTCTAATCCCTTTGCCTACACTTTCAATCCCTT